TCTGTGCCTGTTGGTAGAGACTGAGTTACCTCCGGACCAAGTCACAGGCTGCAGAGCAAACTGCAGATAAGTAGTTGGCTGATGTGCCGTAAATTGCCCGTGCGAGTCATTCGTGGTAAAGCGTTATCATGAACTCCACGGAGCAGCAATGTGTTCATTCAAACTCTAGCTTTGGTTTGGGGTCACATCTTCATCCCCTTCTGTTGTCATGTAATTGCAATGAATTTGTAACGTAGTACAGGAAGGTTTTATGAACCAAAACCATCCTGCGTTTCATTCGGTACTGCATGGTTCTCTTCAGCTGGTGAACAGATTAGGGTCTGCAAAAAGTGGAGCAGAACTTTACCATCACAGTGCTGCAGCCCTGACTCAGGAGAGGAGAGGAGACCAAGCCATTACCATAGAAGGTATGATCCTTGACCAGCTCTGTAAGTATGTCAGTGAATTACTCTAAAACCACCTCACTGAGGATCGAATAAGTTTCCCATCTTATCCATGTTGATTGTTGGTGTACATGTATCTGTATGTCTGTCAAGATGTGCATGGGTATACTGCAGCTCAGCTCTATACCCATCACCATCTGTTGATTTCCAAACCTGGCAAATCAACTTCATCATATAACGCTCATAAATGCATTATATGACAAAGGAGGAGCAAATAAAGGGTATGTCGCACCACCGCTAGTGCAAGAAAAATGTTTGTATTCCTGTTCGAATACTTGAAACTGTGTGCCAGCTTGGCAGACCATGAGTTAAGCACTGCTAAGTAAAAACAGAGGCCAGTAAGTAAAGCTGCAGGCATATTGTGATCGTTTCTGAAATACCGCCGAAGACCATCTGGAATGACTGAGAAAGCAGAACTGACAGCAGCATATCCTGAGCAATGTTAGTTCATCCATTATCTAGGACTGTTCAGGTATTGCATATCACATAGTCACAGAAGCTATTCTTTTTTTTTTTTTTGCATGTTTCACCTGATTTTGTAGGGTGACAGGAACTGATTTTTCACCTATCCAACAACGCATTTCTTTCTTAACACCTTTAAGATGTGACTGCCTGAAGCCCCCTTCTTATCAAAGGGATTTCCACAAGCAGTGTGTTAGGCACACGTGCTATAAAACCATCACAACCGAGTTTAGATCAGTGGCCACATCTGCACAAGGAACATTTCCTGACACAGGAAACTGGTTCTTTGTACATCTTAGAAGTGCCCTTGGCTGGCTGAGCACGGGCCAGCCAGCGCTGACTCTCTCAAACAGCTCCCAGAAGCAATTCAAGAGATAATACAGCCAAGGGGCCATCTATAACAGATAAAAGATAGCTTACTGGTTTGGAGGGTAAGAGAGAGGACTAGGATAGGCACAGGGCATTCCATGCCAGCAAACCTTGGTGTCAAAGAGCTGACTCACATGTGGTTAGTGGAGACACGGCCAACAAAAGCCAGACGTTTGTCAACAGCTGTAGAACCTTCTTTCCTCATCTTCAGTGTTTTCATATTGTCTTGTGATAATAGCAGGGGTTCAAGTGTGCTTTTGACAGGGGATAACTGTTATTATCAACATTCATTAAGAGCCATCAAAAATATAAGCATTCTGACTCAAGAAGCTTCTGAGCAGCAAATGACTGAAGTCTGGAAAAATATTCAGGGAAAATAGTACTCCACTCATAATCATTTCCATCATTTCCTTAGGCCTCTGCTGTTGACCCTGTCTGAGACAGGGTCCTGGTCTGGATGGGCTTTTGGGCTAGTCCTCTGTAGACACTAATACTGTATTATTACATCAGGAGGATTCAGACACAATAGGCTATTAAAGTTAGTATCCTGATCTATGTATTTTCTTGGTTTTATGTTTGCTTTCCTTGTAGTCCTTTCCCAGAGTACCATCAAATCATTCAAAAGCATTACAGGGAGAATGGTGTTAGGAACACACCTTGAAGTACTTGAATGCTTTGTCCTTGCTGTGCCCTAAAGAGAGAAAAACAAGTTGTACGCAGGATGTAGAAGAACACAAACAAATCACTGTTAGGGTGGCATATCTTGATGAAGTTCCCTTGTACCAAGGCAGAAGACATTATAAAAACAAACAAGGGTTGTAAAACAGTGTTAGGAGCGTTGTTCAGCTCTTGAGGTTGCAAATATATATGTTCAGCCACGAATTACTCATGTGCTGTTATTCCTGCAGTCGTAAATAAAAAATTTCATGAGCTTGGTTGAAGAAATATAATTGGAGTTTGCCTGGAAGCTTCAGAAATGTTCTGAAATAGTTTTTGGTCTGTGATGTGCAATTGCTTGAACTAGGTAATAGGGAAGGAAATAGATCCCTGAGTCAACTCCAGGGCGGAACAGAGGGAGAGCTGCTTCAGGCCAATGGAGCAAAGAGCAGGCTCATCCATGGAGCAAGAGGATTGTTCTGAGCAGAGTCGCATCAGGGATGCATTTGGCATAATGCAGTTGACCAAGGAGGGAATTCGTTGCTTTCTTGAGATTCAATAACCAGCCTTGATCTACCTATGGAAAAATCAGGTTCATCTGGCAAAGAACTGGAGGACGGATGGATCTCATGAAGGCTTTCTCTTTCCATCCTTACAATCCTTTCTATTTGTGAAAATGGGATTATTTGTAACTTCACCAAGAGGACAACATTACTGCTGTGTGGTACCATTACAAGAGAAAACAGATACTGTGTCTGTTTCCTAGCTCACCTGCATGGTGGCTCTGAGTTTTACCTGATTTATCGTTGGTTCTGCGAGATGACTACTGTCAGAGTCTCCTGAGGCACCCAAGGGGCTTTAGTTGCAACTATTTCAGTTTTTATCCTCCTGCCTTTCTGTACTGTTTGTTATACTGAACCAAACCTACTGTCACAACTGGGGATACCATTAGTACAGTGGTTTATGAGCCCTGACCTGCAGTCAGTGACGGTCCACAGTCCAACACCATGGGTCTCAAAACCAAACTTCTCGTTAGGTTTAAATTCACACTATGGGAATTTGCTGATCCATTGGACGGACCAAATCCAAAAAGGATGGAAACCACTGAACTAAGGGGTCCCCTCGTAAGCAGCCACAGCTTGGGCTGCACGCCTGAAACGCTGAGATCTGCCTTCAACTACACCCGGTCACTGCACTGAAGTCAATGGAGAGTTGCTTTATAAATCCTTTTTCTGTGGATATTGGAAGAATTTTAGACAGTTAAAAAAAAATAAGTGTAACTGAAAGAAAATCCTTCTCTCTGACTTCCAGTTGACTGTCTGCTTTGCAGCTTGCTGCTTAACCTGCACATGGCAGATCTGGGCTGATGTGCTCTGGCCTCCCTTTTTAACGTGCTACTATTGTGATTCATTCATCCCAGGCTCACTAACTTGTTCATTTTTTAAGAAAAAGAAAGCCCAGTGTTTTTGAAAGGTGTTGCATCTTCATACGGCTGTGCAGGTCCGGCACGTGTAATGAGACAGTTGATAGTAGGGGAAGGAGTCAGCCACACAAGTGGATATAAGCAAAACCATGACGAAGAACACTCAGCACAGTTAAAGCCAGGCAACGGGAATCTCTTCAACACAGTCTTGCCTTAGTTCTCCTTCAGAGCTATGGGCAAGTTATTTAGTTGCCTTGTTTGTTAATACCCACCTTGCAGGGAAAAGCTAAATATTCTGAGGCTTTCAAATGGAAGATAGTTTTAAAACACAGAGGACCATTAGATCTCCTAGTGCTACCCTTTTATGGTAGAAATGAGGCGTAGGAGTTTGTCCCCCCGAACTTTTTAAAGTTCCCTGGTTGGGGTGATATTTAGGATATTTATCTTGTTTTTTTTTATTCTGTTGGCATCATTGGTTGGTGTCATTTTGGGGCTGGCCACGTGGTTTTCAGCGCAAATTCCAGAGAGCACAATCTGCCTTTACAACCATCTCCGTCACTGCAGGAATAGAGCCCGTTTTTTTTTAGAAAGAGCGTAAAACAATTGCATCTCACTCAGGGAACAGTGTTATGCCCATGAATGGCTCATCATAGCAGTTCACGTCAGATTTGTGCATCCCCTGTTGCAGATTAATCTCCTAAGCGTAGCAGAGGAGGGGTGAAAGCAGAGCAGTGCTCCTGTGCTACACGCCAGCAGCGTGTACTGTGCAGGAAAAATACGTTTATGCTTCTGTGAGTGGAGAAAGCAGCCTTAAAATTTGTAATAAAAGGCCATGAACCACCTTTCATCCATTCAGACCAACAAGAACTGACTTATCCTAAATGTTTCATCACTTGTAAGTCAATGATTTAACGTATTAACCGGAGGAGTCTAGTCCTATAGCAGCACTGGCTGATCCTAATGCTTACAGCTCTTAACCTGCTTATCAGGGGCTCCTGCTTTGCAAAGCTGTTTTCCTAAAACGCTATTAAACGAGTTGAAATGATAAATCCGGTGCTAAAACGGATGCAGAATATTTTCCTCTCGGGGGAAAGAAAAAAAAAAAACAAATCCAAATTCTCTCATCCTACTTTCATGTGGTTCTATCCTTCATATAGAATTGCTTAAATCCTCCGTCACACCTCGGACAGCACATATAAAATTCATCTGTCATGCACGAAACTGCGAGTCCTCAGGACCCATGTACTATACGCCCTTTACAGCTTTCTCATCCCAGGCCTGCTGACCTTTGAATATTGAATCCCTTTGACATCTGACGTACAGAAGTGTTGCAGTGGTGCCAGTCGGGAGGACTGCAAGAACAGACATTAATAGAACAAACATTAAAGAGACTTGCTTTTACAGACATTGGGGGATTTCATTAAGTACATATTTAATTATCATATAAATACAGTTGTTAAAATAACTGTATAAAACATCTATGTTTAGGTGTAAAATCAAATTAACTTCTATTTACATCAGAACTTGCTGCTTATGGAGTAATCTGATGATATTATTTGATGAGATTTTCTAAAAGCTATGTAAAAATTCCACAATATTGATTTAAGAGGTTAAAAAAAATCAGAGAGAACTTCTAACCTGGGTGCAGTAAATTGTTCAAGCACTCAGTTCATCTTCCATCATTGTATATTTATCATTCCATCATTGAAAAAAGGTTTTGAATTATTTTAAAGGTATTAACTAAGGATGGGTAAACAGTTATATTGTAATTACGTTCAGAGATAAACGTTTGAAAGGAATTTTGCCCTTTACTTACCCAGTAAGCTATAAACTCTAATTTCCAAACAGATTTTGTTTAAAACCACCTAATTCTGCTGTAAGTCCTTTGACTCTGTTGGAAATTATTCCATATTTTCCCATGCGCAAGTGAGACAAGGCTCTGCAAAGAAAACATAGAGCTGTAGGTCAGATATTAACATCGACATTTGCACAAAATTCTTCTTCATTATGCTGGGATTTGTTGTTTTACCTAGCGGCAGAAGAAAGCCCTTGGAAGCTAAGTGGAAGGAAAATT